ACACACACACACGCGGGGGGCTAATACTTTAATTATCTTAGTAAAAACAGCCCTTAGACCAGATGAAGACACAGATTAAAGTCAGATTCAGTTACAATTCAAAGAACTAAAAGTTTTAAAAGTTACTTTTATAAGTCACAGATATGCACTTGTTTATTTTAGAGGATAAAACAGTTGAATGTGTAAAATATGTAAAATAAATGAAGGACTCACTGAAGCATGTTGGTCTTTGATGTCCTCCATGGTGCACAGACTCCTGCTGGTCCCGTTCATCTTCAAACTGCCTCACAAACCAATGAGATGAATAAGAAAATGTCTGATGATCTTCAGCTCCACGGCTCTTCTGAGTCGCTGCTGCTCGCTTCACGGGAATCACTTCTATCATGACGTCACCGTGGGAGTGGACAGGAAAAAAAACACACCCACGAAGTGACTGAAACAGACAAATGGGGGAGGTGAGGCAACGTGGGATGAATGCAGGGAGGGTCAGCACCGGTGCGACAACTCCTGGAGCAACAACACAAACAGCAGGAACTGCACTTTACTTACAAAATAAAAGCACAGCGGAAGTGTTCAAACAGACGGCCGGGCCTTCAACCGCTACCGTAAATACAGAAAGTGGACATATTTATGCTAATGTAGCAAAGTTTAACACTTATAATTAACTACAAACCTAAACACACTAATAAATATAACTAATTACTTTAACTTGGTCATAGTGGTAGGATATTTATGAATATATTTAAGCTACAGCTACGCTAGCCGTGCAGTGGCGGTCCTAACTAATTTGGGGTCCTTGGCAGAACCAGGTGTCCCCCGAGGTGCCTTTTTAAAATATCACTGCTAATTTACATAAATTCACACAAGACACTAGTTATGTCTAGTTATTTTACATTTTAAAGATAATTTATCAAATTAAAACACTTAACAATCCTGCAGCATACCCAGTGGTGGGCAGCACTGATCTAAAAATCTGTTCCACTAACCCTAAAGCACTAACTGAACTATTTAGGGCCCCTAATTCAAAAGCACTAATGCACTGAAAAAATTAGCAAAAGCTAATTATAAAGCACTGAAATAATCCAGTCAACCCATGAACATTCTTCATCAGACAACATGAGCCACATGTTGATCTCTTAATTCTTATCTCTGACTCCACAGCTGGATTTGGTTCACATATCGTCACCTGGTGGATCAGTGACACATGAACAAAATGTGCAGCTTTCACCGTCAGTTAACATTAATGTTAATAACATTTATAGACCTCAGTTAGTGCTTCTAAATTTAACCTATACATTTAGCAATTGCTAATCCACTAATAAATTCTAAAAATAACAAAAGCCCTAAAGCACTAATTAGAAAATTCATTCCCATATTAGTGCTTTAGGGGAACTGTGTGCACCACTGACCATATCTATAGTGTGTCAAGTGTAATCATCACAAAATGTATTTTGAACTATTTAACCTTATTTTATAACAAAGATAAATCTAATAGGTAGATAAAACAAGTAAACCTGAGTAACCAGTGACTATTCTTACAAAATAAACAATGTTCAGATAAACTTTTATATAATCTTTATAGTATTATGTACTTGAGTAGTATTTTTTCTTCATTTCTTCTCCTGTACAAAGCTGCACCGTACTTGAACAATTACAACACAATGCACCATGTTACAAATGCAAATTACAACAAAGTGCAACACAATAAAAACACAACAAGATGCAATGAAATATGATATAATTTGGTACAGAATAATTAAATATAATATAATACGACACACTAGGGGAAATTTTAAGTTGCCTTAAAAAAATAAAAATAGACAAACTATAGTAACACAGTTTCAAGAATAATCCACTAAAAAAATAGAATATCAAATATAAACAGTGAAATTCAAGTCTGCAGCATTTTAAAACAGCAGTTATGATGTAATGCTAATCTGAACTCTTTCAGTTCTTTGACTCTTTGAAGCGACTGTAAAATTTTGTGCACAGAAATACAATGAATTTAGTCCTAAAAGTACTGGCATGTGCAGCACATTTAAAATCTGTTATCATTCATTTGTCAAGTTGTGAATTTGAACCTGTATGTCCTGAGGCATCTCTGCACCCCTACTTCTCTCAGCCTTCATCAGGCTCACAGCAGTGTTGTTTCTTCATTTCAGTTGTGTTTCATCTTGTGACCAGTTGGGTTTTGAGGGTAAACCAGGTCGTACTACAGGAACGAGATGACGGTGCAGAACCGTGTCACCGCTGAGCCTTGCACTCCAGGCGTGCAGCAGAGGTCACAGCTGAAAGCTCCAGCTGGATCAGGACTTTAAAGGCATTAAAACGCAAACAGCAGCTCACACAGATGCACACAAGGGATGACGCTGAATGATTCTGGGACACTAATCAAACCAGAGTCAGGAACTAAATAACTTTGTTCTTTCTAGTTAAACATTTTTCAAAAGAGAATTTGTGTCTTTAATTAGTAAACAGGTCTGAGGTAATGTGTCACAGAGAGAGGAGGAACCTGTCCTGGTGTGTGTGTGTGTGTGTGTGTGTGTGTGTGTGTGTGTGTGTGTGTGTGTGTGTGTGTGTGAGAAAAACAAACCCATTATAAACTGACCACATTCAGACACACTGATCCAGAGATTAGACAGCAGACTGCTGAAATCTCAGGTGTTCATGTCTGGATCTGTGGATCTGAGGCAGCTGGAGACTTAGGTTTGGTTTCATTTACAACTTTACTGTTTTATTGTTTTTTTTTTCAGAGTTGTAAAGTAACTAAGTACAAATATTTTGTTACTATATTTAAGTAGAAATTTTGGGTATCTGTACTTTATTTGAGTAATTATTTTTCAGCATACTTTTTATTTTTACTCCTTACATTTTTACACAGTTATCTGTACTTCCTACTCCCTGCACTTTTTAAAAGGGATCCCCGATTAGTTGTAACATTAGACTTTATWTAATAAACATTTATTTTAACTGTAAAATTAAGACTAAAAATACTGTAGGATGTTTAGTTTTGTAAATTTTTAAAAATATATTTTAACACGGACGGAGCCATTTTATTTGCACACAAAGCATTCTGGGTAAATGATGACGTGGATAGGTCCTCGGTGCGAGGCTGCTAGCGAGCTATATCCACCCTGAAGGTTAATCTTGGACAATATCTGATGATCGACTCTTTTAAATGAAACCAGAGAGCGTTGACAGAGAGGAGAAGGTAGAAATGACTCAGCCTGGAACTGAAAATATGGATGGAGGACAACAGGTTAGCTTGTTTGTCGTGCTAGCACCGAGCTAATACATATATATGGTGATAGCATCGGTGATAGCACAAAGGCTAACAGGCTAATCTGAGGTTGTTCTTCCATGAAGCAGCTCTGTTGTCCTCCATCCATATTTTCAGTTCCAGGCTGAGTCATTTCTACCTTCTCCTCTCTGTACAACAGGTTGCCTTCAGGCCCAGGCCTCCCTTGAAAAAGAGATCTGCGATCTCAACGGGACTTGCCTGATTGAATAATGGTAAATAATAAATAAATAATAATAAATTAAATAAGGAACAATTATAGCGTTATACAACATAAACAGTGCTTTATCATTGAACAGTTCTCTTCCTTTGTACAGGACTCCAATAGATTTGGCTATTTTTGTTAAATTATCTTAAAATATGGATGGTACCTGTGGTCCTGCAGTTTGAAGTGCAGCTCAGAAACTGCAGATAGGATATCTTATAGAGAAAGGTCAGCTGCATTGGAACGTTCGTAGCTGCTACAGTATGTCTCTGGATGATGACATCATAGCATAAGGCCAGCACCAACAGCAAAAGCTGCATTCCATTTCAAAATACGTCAGCATTTAACTTATTTAACTTTTACATTTAGATTTACACATTTAGACTTAGGATTGCCATACTATAACTAGATTACAGTATATAGATATACATAAGTCATATTTACAGGTACTGAGCTCAGTTTTAATGGTAGTACCTGAGGGTCATTGACACAAGCTGAGCAATAAGAGCGTTCTAACTCCATTTCTTCTCATCCTAAACTGATCAAAGTGCATCTGGTTTAAAAAGCAGACAGCAATATGTTCATGAAATTATAATTATGGTAATGCTCTAAAAACACATCTCAGCTCTTAAATGGAAGATTTTAATCAGCATTAAACGATCAACAGAATTACACAGCTTAAATTTTTTTTTCCAAAAATGAGCATTTTAAAAGTAAAAAAAGCTACTAAAAAGATTAAAGTGCCTTCGACTGACAGAGAGTCAACAGGAGGTCATGACACACGACACACAGTTCTCCTGAATGACTCAATGAAGGCTCGTCACCACCTCAAATAGAAAGCTGAGAAATATTTGTTTTCACTAAATTCACTCCCTTTTTTCCTCCTCCTCAGGGCTCTGGCTCCTGAAGAGGGACTATTAAAGTAGCTCTTTACAAAACCTATTTGATAGATTTAAAAAAAAAAAGTGTAGTTACAGACCGGGTGACATTTCCTCAGAAAAATGTCCTAATTTGGGATAAAACATTGCAAAACCCATGTAGGTGATGTCATCACTGAGTCCACACATTTCCTCAGGCTGAGGTATTTACAGTGCTGACGTGTTCAGATGATGTCTGGATGCTTCTCCACTCCTCAACTCCAATGACTTCTTGCAGAACAAGTGAAGCCACAATTTTTTTTTTTGTTGTTGTTGTTGTGTCCAAGCCTTAAATGCTCCTGTTTCTATACGTGGACACCTCTGGAGGCGGCTGGAAACACCTTAAACCTGAAGAGCAAACACACAACTGAAGTCGACACACACCCTCAGCTGTCGGCCAATCAGGTTCCAGCTCAAACAGATGTGTCTGAAAAGATGAAATATGGAAACTCGCTCCCACCCATGGAAAGAATGTTTGTGTGTCAAAACGAGAAATATGCACAACATGTTGATGCTGCACAGGTCCGGTTTCTCTGGATCAGAGGTGTGCCGCTGTGGATCCTGGATCTAGTTTCACAAACACTGAAGTATTTTTATTCCTTGATACACATGAGAACAAAATGGTTTTTGAACATCCGTCACACAAACGGAAGTGTAGAGCTGCCACATGACATGAAATTATTTTTAAACTGGATCTCATTATAATGAGAAAACTCTCTCGTAAAAATGAGAAAATATATGTCGTTATAATGAGAAAACTCTTGCAAAAACCAGAAAACTGAACGGGTTTTCTCTCCAAACGTTCAGATTCAACCAACGTGGATGCATTGTTACATCAAATACAGCAGTGATTCCCAACCTGGGGGGTCTGGTAATGGAGGGTATTGGAGAGTAGTGGAGGGTATTGGAGAGTAGTGGAGGGTATTGGAGAGTAGTGGAGGGTATTGGAGAGAAGTGGAGAGTAGTGGGGGGTATTGGAGAGTAGTGGGGGGTATTGGAGAGTAGTGGAGGGCATTGGAGGGTAATGGAGAGTGGTGGAGGGTATTGGAGAGAAGTGGAGGGTATTGGAGGGTAATGGAGAGTAGTGGAGGGTATTGGAGAGTAGTGGGGGGTATTGGAGAGTAGTGGAGGGCATTGGAGAGAAGTGGAGAGTAGTGAAGGGTAATGGAGAGTAGTGGAGGGTATTGGAGAGTAGTGGGGGTATTGGAGAGTAGTGGGGGTATTGGAGAGTAGTGGAGGGCATTGGAGGGTAATGGAGAGTGGTGGAGGGTATTGGAGAGAAGTGGAGAGTAGTGGAGGGCATTGGAGGGTAATGGAGAGTAGTGGAGGGTATTGGAGAGTAGTGGGGGGTATTGGAGAGTAGTGGAGGGCATTGGAGAGAAGTGGAGAGTAGTGGAGGGTAATGGAGAGTAGTGGAGGGTATTGGAGAGTAGTGGAGGGTATTGGAGAGTAGTGGAGGGTATTGGAGAGTATTGGAGAGTATTGGAGGGTATTGGAGGGTATTGGAGAGTAGTGGAGGGTAATGGAGAGTAGTGGAGGGTATTGGAGAGTAGTGGAGGGTATTGGAGAGTAGTGGAGGGTATTGGAGGGTATTGGAGAGTATTGGAGGGTATTGGAGGGTATTGGAGAGTAGTGGAGGGTAATGGAGAGTAGTGGAGGGCATTGGAGGGTATTGGAAAGTAG